AGTACTTTAAAGTGTATAAATAAGTTACCCGGGCAATTGATTTACATCAGCCAATCATATGAAAGTCCTCCTATGAACTGTATATGCAGAACCCCAGCTATATTTAGAACTATCTCGCCTGTTAATTTGCATTTTTTACTTATTTTCTCGTTAATATGCGTCGCGTGTCTATATTTAGAACTATTTCACCTGTTAATTTGCATTTTTTACTTATTTTCTCGTTAATATGCGTCGCGTGTCTATATTTAGAACTATTTCACCTGTTAATTTGCGTCAAATTTGAATTTTTTTTTTTTAAAAACTATATATATAAACATAAAAGCTTGTCATAATTTTCGATAAACTATTTAGAACCCTCTCAACTGACATTTTATAAACATAAAAGCTATTTAGAACCCTCTCAACTGACATTTTATAAACATAAAAGCTTGTCATAATTTTCGATAAACTATTTAGAACCCTCTCAACTGATGTTTTTATGCAAACCAATACATTTTATAAACATAAAAGCTTGTCTGATTTGAAACTTGAAAAAATGTTACTTAGTAATAACTATGGTCAAATAATTGTAAAAGAATATGGTCATTATACTATAAATTCAGACTTTTATGACCGTTCTTTCATTACTTCTGATGAATCTATTTTCGACTTTTCAGAATTTGTAAAGGTAAGCGTTCTTATTGCACATCATGTTGAGTATTATGTTGATGAAGTTACGCTGGTTAGAAACCCGGGCGTGCCCAGGGAGTTCGTTCTAATTGAATAGTCGCATCAATATATTATGGTACCTGTGCCCTAACTATATTGGTTATATGATGAGATATGTTGTGTTCATTTATTTTTTTATTTTTCCATTTTTTTTAGTTTAGCGATGATGAAAAAATAATTGTATACGAAAATATGATATATGACCTCGTAAAAAATAATAAGAAATTATGCTATGCTAGTGGGAAAACGCTTCAAGGTCCAAAAATTTTTAAACACATATGTGACGGAAATCTTACTTACTACGGGAGGTCAAACGAATTTAAATTTAACATCTTAGTTCAATGGCGATCACGAAGGAATCTCGTTGGTATCGATAAAATCAGGGAACTCATAGGTACTATCGCGAATCAGCCTAGTGATGTTTTTACATTTTTAGTTTTAAATGTGGGATTCACCGATAATGCAGTAGCCGAAGTTAGAAATTCAAGGTATCGTTTTATTTTATGCTCAGAAAATGATCTTATATTTTTGATGAACATTATGGAAGATGAATTTATGAAGTTTGAAGAAAATTTTAAACGTGGAATTGATTTAAGAGAAAATATAAGAAGCATCAAATTGGAGAGAGTTGAAAGTTTCGCGATTAAGGAAAGTGAAATTATTGTTAAAGGGAACGGTAAAATAAAAATTTCTTATCAGAACAGATATAATCCATATTAATGTTATGTAATTCAGTAATTTTAATAAAAAATTTTAAACTAATGTAATTACTGAATTATATGTAATAACTACGTAACAAAAAACATTGTAAAATAAAATACATGTAACTGCTACGTAATAATAATATATTTAGCGATTTTTTATAATGAATACTCTCAAAGATCCAATCAAATTAAATTGATTTGCAGCAATAATATATAGTCAAGGATTTATCGTTATAGAAGTAATTTAAGACCAAAATATAAAGAGTATACATGCAATTTGACAGTATACAGTTAGACACCTATGTTAATGCCAAACGGCACATGCTCGTTAATTACCGGATTTGTCATTATGCAGCAGGATTGGCATAGCGTCATAATGATCATATGCACAACCCCAAGTTTAGGGTGATTAGGTAAATTTAGTTTCGACAAAGATCATGTGATTTCGATTATCAACGATAAAGCAAATCGCATGGTTATTAACGTTAACACCAAGGCTAAACCCTTCTTTTACGAAATTATTTTAATTTTATATTATGCTCGAATCTCTGGCTGCTAGCGTTTTAAATCGCTTTCTTGGAGATTATGTCGCTAATCTTGAACAAAACCAATTAAACATTGCAATATGGTCAGGTAAGTCAATACGTAATTTCGGTTAATTTTACTAGAATTATTAGAATTACTAGAATTACTAATTTACATATATGCACTAAAGGCGACGTTGTCTTGAAAAATTTACAACTCAAAAAAGAAGCTCTTGACAAGTTCAACTTGCCGATTGACGTTTTAGAAGGCAATTGTTAGGCTTACATATTATACGCTGTTGAAATGCGCGTCTTTTCAAACTTATAACGTTCTATTTTCATGCATTAGGATACGTGGGAGAACTTATTTTAAATATCCCTTGGTCGAATTTGAAGAATAAGCCTGTTAAAGTTTTCATAAATGATGTCTATATTTTAGCGGTTCCGAAAGCTGAAACAGAGGTAATATATATTTCATTTCTACTTGTGAATTTCGCGTCGTTATTGATCATAAGGCGACTTTTAAAAGTATGATCCTGATGAAATCGAGAGACGAGCTCAACAACTTAAACAAGAACAATTAGCAAATGCTGAACTTCTTCATACAAGTCATATTGAGACGACTGAAGGTTTGATTTCCTAGAATATTTGTTCTATTTACTACATTTTAATATTTTATGTTGTTGACAATTTAATATGATATAATTCTTCAAGAGGATCAAAAAAATCAATCTTTTATGACTAAGCTCGTCACGAAAATTGTTGATAACTTGCAGATATCCATTAAAAACATTCACATTCGTTATGAAGATAAACTAAGTGATCCAGGAGTGTGTATTCCCTTTTCATTGCTCATTTATACTTCATTATATGTGCTCATTCGAATCAATAATTCGATTTGTAACCACTACAATTTAGCATCCGTTTGCTGTCGGGTTTACTTTATCAGAATTCTCAGCTGTATCGACAGATTCAAATTGGAAACCTGCATTTATTGAAGGAGAAACCAGTTCAATCAATAAAGTAAGGGTTTTTATGCTTCATTTACGTGATTAATCGACTTAGTATACAAAATTGCGCTCTAATGATCGTTAAAATTCATAATTGCATTAGTTAGTTACATTAGGGTCTTTGGCCATATACTGGAATACAGATTCAAAGTCTTTGGCTGGGTCTACCACAAAAGAATCTATTGCAACGTTTACTAGTTTGGTAAAAACCTAATATATTATTATAAAAAAATTCCGATAATTATATAAAACATAAATAATTTTTGTTTTTTATTCAGATCGCATCTGAACAAAAAATCCCACAAGAACATCAATATATATTGAAACCAGTTTCTGGGACTGGACGAGTACGTTTTATTTCAATCAACTCTAATTTTATAGATGAGAATCATAATCGTAATTGCTTTTTTTCTTTTATAGATAACATTGAATAAGTACTTTGAATTAAACACTCCAAAAACTACGGCAATCCTTTTGTTTGATGAGCTTGGATTTATTTTGGATGATGAGCAATATAGAGATGCGTTACTAATGGCTGACCTATTCCATTTTTATTTACGGCAACAACAGGTATTTACAGTTATTAATTAGTTTTATAGTGTTTCAAAATGCAAGTTAAAGAAAGAATACATAACAATAAAAAATATTTTAAATTATATTAGTATCGAAAGTTCAGGCCTCCAAATGAAGTAACTCCTAAAAAAGATCCAAGGGCATGGCTTCAATTTGCTGGAAATTGTATTATTTCGGAAATTCGAGAACGTAATCGTAAATTGACATGGGAATTCTTCAAAGAACGTCGTGATGATCGACATGATTATGTCAAGTTTTATAAGGATAAACAATTTGAAAAAATAACACCAGAGGTTTTTTTTTTTTTTTTTACAAATTCATGAGTAAATCCCTATTATTTTTTTTATTATTTATTTTGTTTACATAGGTATTATTTATTTATTATACAGAATGCATCTAAATTAGAAGCATTAGAGCGGAAACTTAGCTATGAAGATATCCTATTTTATAGGTCTATTGCCAAATCACAATTAAAAAAGGAAAGGGCATTGATAGGTTCGTTTATAGTAAATTTGAAATTTTATATAGTAGAATGAGTGTTAATCATTTATAATAAACTTTATTTTAGCAAAGAAAAAGAAGGAACAACAACAACAAGCACTATCAACGCGTAAAAGTAGTGGTTGGTTTAGTGGTTGGTGGTACGGTGGAGGTTCGGCAGATGTAGGATGTTTTTCATTATACCTTTCTAGTTATTTATTTACAGTGAACTAACAAATTTAATGTATTATTAGTCTTCAGAAAATGAAACAGTTTGGACTGATGAACAGCTCCAAGAATTGTATGAAGCCATTGAATATGACGAGTCTGAAGTAGCTCCGGAGGCTGTTGAATTACCTAAAGAGGTCATTAAAAATTCATCTTTTAACAGTATTTTCTTTTAGCATATTCTTTATTATTTAATATTCACATTTACCTATTTCATATTTACTGAATTTTTTTACCTTATTAGTGGACAAAACTTTTATTCAAGACTGAGCTTAAGACCGGTTCATTTGTATTAAAAAAAGATCCTCATGGAAAGAGTACAGAAATTTTATCTTTAATTTTTGACACAGTAACTGCAGAGTTCCTCCAAAGGCCTGATTCTTTTCAAGCAGAGACTGCATTAGGAAGTTTAAGTGTGTATGATGGTTCTACAGAGGGTACTTTATATCCGCAAATAGTGAAGGTGAAAGAAGATGTTATAAGTGATATAAATCCTGATGAACCATCGAATAAACCATTCTTTCAACTTGTATTTGAACATAATCCTTTGGATGGACGTGCTGATAATGGCCTTTCGTTGAAAATGAGACATTTGGAAGTTGTTTATAATCAAAATGCTATTGAAGCTGTTACTGAATTTTTCAGGCCTCCAGAACAACAACTAGAAACTATTACCGCTTTAATTGTATGACTACTTTATTATTTAATATATATATATATAATTCATGATGTATTTAGTTTCTAAGAAAGTCTTATTTTTTTTTTTTAGGAAGCGGCAGGCGATACCATTGAAGGACTCAAAGCGCAAACAAGGGCTGTCCTAGAAATGAAATTGGAAAAGCATAAGACTATTGATGTTGAAGTTGATATGAACGCTCCGATTATTATTGTCCCTAAGAGTTGTACGCAATCGAACACTGAAGTAGTTGTGCTAGATTCTGGTCATATCAGAGTAGAAAGCAAGCTTGTTAGCAAAGCTGATAAGGAAGAAATACAATCCAAAGCTAATTCAGAATATAGCGAGGCTGATTACAAACGATTAGAATCATTAATGTATGATCGTTTTTCAGTGCAACTTTCATCCACTCAGGTATTTTTCATTTTTAAATAAATTATAATTACTATATAACATGAATTAAGTATTATAACGTTATAATAGAAGTTATACTAATATCAATATCATATATTCATTTTAGCTTCTCGTTGGTCAATCGGTGGAGCGTTGCCTAGCTCAAATTCGTAATTCTGAACCCAAATACGATCTTCACGTAATCGACCGAATAAATCTACAATTTCTTGTTGAAATGTCAATCTTACCACGAGCTCCTAATCTTACTAAATTTCGAATTTCGGGACATTTACCACTTTTAAAAACAAATTTCTCTGATAGAAAATATAAAATAATTATGAGCATTGTTGAAACTGTGACTTCTTCATCATCGAGTTCAAAGGAAGAAGTTCCTAAAATAGATCCAACTGATAAAATGACATTTGCCAAAGTAGCTAATGATCTTCTAAAAGAGAACAAGAACACGAATACGAAAAATAGAGGTTGGGAACGAATAGACCATAATATGATTGCTAAATTAGGTTTGGGTAAATCTCAAGGTTTAGTGCTAATTGATAGTGAGAGTGATGAAGATGCCCCCGAAGAGCACAACGAAGAATTTTTTGATGCGCAAGATGCGAATGTATGTGTGTTCTTTTCTTTTTCTTTTTCTTTTTTTTTTCGTTCTATTATGTTGTGTTTATGAAAACCCTTTAATAACAATTTTATTTAAAACTAAAGGTTTCAAGTGCAAAGATGAATCAAAGAATGTTTGAATTTGAATTCAAAGTGGATAAATTTACAACTACGCTTAAAAAGGCGGATATAGATCCTGATAAACCGGAAGTTGTTCTAGTTGATATGGTTTTGGAGCACTTTGGTCTGACTTATGTACTTCGTCCGTTTGACATGTCTGCTGAAGTAGTACTTAAATCTCTCAGTGTTGAAGACAAAATGACTGACACAGGGTCAGAGTTTAAACATTTGGCTGCCTCAGAGGGATATGGAAATGCTCAAGCGGATGATTCAAAAGATCTTGTGCATATAAAATACACCAGAGTTGACAAAAAATCGCCTGAATATATGTCCAAATTTGAGGGAATTAGTCAAAGTGTTGATATCGAAATGTCGACCATAAACATAATTGTGACACGTAAAAGCATATTGACTTTGTATAACTTTGTTTTAGATACATTTACTTCTCCCACTACATCATCCTCCCCACAGTCTAGTGTAGAGACTGAAGCTCTTATTTCACCAGAGTCTCAAAATCCACAGCCATCTCAAACATCAACAATGCGTGTCAAAGTGACGCTCACTAGTATAAGGTTTATTTTAAATAACGATGGAGTCCGGCTCGCAACAGGATTATTGTATCGTGCTAATGTGGCAGTATTGCTACTTCAAAATACTATTCGCGTCGGAGCTCGATTGGGAAGCTTCTCTCTATCTGATGATCTGGCGGGACCGAATACTGATGAATCGTTACGACAATTACTTACATTGCAAGGAGAAGAAGATTTGGCTGTTTTTCAATATGAAACTTATGATGAATTAACGCCTGGATATCCTGGTTATGATTCATCGGTTTCTTTACGTACTGGATCAGCAAAACTAACTTTTCTCGAGGAGCCACTTCGCCTTTTGCTCGATTTTGGAAGTAAATTTGCACAAATGAAAGGACTTTATGACTCTGCTCGTAGGGCAGCAGTATCACAAGCTGTACAATTGCAAGAGAAAGTTTCGAAGTTTCATTTTGATATTAGTATTCGTTCACCTATTATTGTGTTCCCCCAGGTTAATACTAATGATATGGTTATCGCAAATCTTGGTGAATTTTCGGCGTCTAATGAGTTCGAATCAAAAGATGGAAATAATAGTTATCTTACTCGAATCACTGCTGAACTTCAAAAAATTAGTTTATCTTCGAATTTTATGATTCCAAATATTTCTTCGCCACAAATTCTTCAAATTATTAATGATGTAGATATTAATTTTAAAATTTCATATTCGGAGCATGTTGAAGGTTCGGAAGGGCCTGATATGAAGGTAAAATTAAAGAATATCTCTTTACAATTTTCTTTTTCCGAGAATTAATATTTATATTATATTTTATTAAAGATTATTGGTGAGATGTCAGATGTTAAAATGAATTTAACAGAAAAACAGTACAAATTCTTGTTCGATCTTTCAAATACTGTTTCTCGAGCGTTTAGCAGTCCTGAGGAGCAAGCCCCTATTTCACCGCAAAGGAGAATAACTGATCCCACTCAAATTCCTCCTCAAAGTAAAACACCCAATACCTCCAAGGATAATTCTTCAAAGATAGAAGAAGGTGAAGTGAATCCATGGGTAACAGTTGGTCTTGTTTTCGAAGTGAATCAGATATATTTGGAAATTTTTACCGACGATGGTTCTCAAGAAAGGATATTAGGTGAAACAAGCTTGTCAAGATTTTCACTTAACCAAACAAAAATTGAATATAAGATGCTGTCGGACAATTCAATGAAAGCAGTACTTCAAATTCAATCTGTCACTTTAAGTGATACGCGTCCGAACATTAAAAATATATATCGAGATATTTTACCTAAAGTTAATTTGGGCAAACCGCAGTTCCTTATTGATCTTGCAATGTCTGGAGGTTCCGAAAGAAATATTATCGCGCTTGTCAAATTTAGCAGTCCTAAATTAATACTCACGTTGGATCATTTATTTGCTACTCGCAACTATTTCATGAGTGCTTTTGACACACCGTCTTCATCTAATGAGGCCACTCCACAAGCTCAGTCCTCTGATACTTTGCCTCCATTGAAACCCCCAAGACCCAAAACTTCTCCGACAACAACCCAACCTCCGACGTTACCGCCAAGGCCGGTAGCTAAACAACCACAACAAACAACCTCATTGAGTTATCGAGTGGAAATTGATTCGGCTGAAATAATATTGTTGGCCAATCCTCATCTGACCAGTAGTGAGGCAGTTGTCCTTTCTTCTCAGAAAATGGTTCTTGTACAACAAAGTGCGATATTGCTAAATGTTGATCAAGTTGGGATGTTTTTATGTCAAATGGATAAAAGAGAATCCACTCTTTTAAGGTTCATTGATAACTTTGATTTATCATTAACGATGAATACTCAATCTTCGAAACCAGAACAACAAATCACAGATATTAATGTCGAAATTGGTGCTCTTATTTTGAGAGTGTCTTATAGAGATGTCCTTCTTATTTTATCTATTGTAAATAAAGTTTCAGAACTATCTTCTCAACCTTCGTCTTCGGCTGCTACGAAACAACCTGAAACAACAGTTGAGAGTCCTATAGACAACGTGCGACCTAGTAATACACCATCGAGGTCATTCAATTATAATACCTTAACTACTACTAAAAAAAGCAGCAATTCATCCAAAAGTCGTGTAACCCCGGTTGTGTCTAGGGAATCGGTAAATTATTATCATTTTTTGCCGAGATTTAAATCTAATCTTATTAAAATAAATTATTTTTAACCATTTATATAGTTAAAGGTTAAATTAAAAGGCGCAAGGCTCATTTTAATTGGAGACGAACATGACATTCCAATGATCGATGGCAGTTGTGACAAAATTAATGTAGAAGTTGTAAATTGGTCGTCGCAGGTTTGAATTGATTAGAATTTTATTTGATTTTTTTATTAATATTGTGTTAAACAGATATTTTAAACCATTTTACTTTAGCTTAGTGTTGATGCCAATGTTTTTACTTATGTTAATTATTTCAATCTTACAAATTCGCATTGGGAACCGTTGATTGAACCTTGGCAATATAGTGTTCATGTATGTAGTAATTTTTTAGCAATTTTGTTTTATTGTTATTTATAGACTAAATTTTTTTTTTTATAGGCTTTAAAACAAGCGGTTCCAGAGAGTATGGTGATTGATATTACTTCACAAAAAAGACTGGAAGTAAATATTTCTCACATTTTCTTGGAAACAATGTTGACTACCCTTTCTATAATTAACCATGTATCTGAGGTTCGTGTTCATATTTTTTTCTATGGTTTAAATTTGCCTCATTATTTTTTATAATAACTATTGCGCGCGTTGTAGCATTTAACAACTACCGCTAGGGGTTCCAGGACTCCATATATATTAAGGAATAAAACTGGGTATAGCATGAATGTTTGGGCAATTTCATCTGCTGATGCTAATGACACTGAAGTAAAATTAATGAATGATGGTCAAGAATTAGATTGGAGGTTTGATGACTGGCGTAAAATGCGTGAGGTTTGTATTAACTTAGCATATGTGAAGTTGTGCCTTTACATCGCGTTATAATTAATTTTAATTTACATATAGGCGATGACTGTAACAAAAAATATGCTTGGAATTCAATTTGAAGGCTCCAATTGGGAATGTATTAAAGATATTACAGTAGATAGAGAAGGGGAGACCCTTTATATTTTACGTCCAAAATTAAATGAGGTTTATCACCGATTGGTAGTTGATGTGAAGTTAGTGAATAATATAAAGGTGGTTACTTTCCGATCGGCACTTGTCGTTGAGAATCGTACAAATTTAACAATGGAATTATTGGTTGTTGATACTTATGGCAATCATGTCTCGAAAGTTTATCAGATTGGTAATAAAATCACTACCGTTCTGCATGTAAAGTTCAAATGGATGTATTAACATTATAACGTTTACTGATTATAATAATTATAGGGTCTGGGGAAGATTGTCCTATTCCAATCGAAGCTGCATATTACCACAAATTCAAAATTAGGCCAGAGGGTACGAACATGATTTAATTGTATTAAAAGATATCTTATTTAGTCGTTCTTACTGGTATTACTTTAATTGTTCTTTGACAGGCGGTTTTGGTTACGATTGGAGTCTTCAGAGCCTATATTGGAAAGATTTCTTGAAGCCAGGTCCTGTTACCACAGTTTCATGCCATTCAATTCAGGATAATTTTCCATTCCGGTTCCAAGTATTTTCTCGATATCAAAAGAAAAACCCCCTTGTCAAGTGAGATTTATACAATCCTTTATCTTAATAATTTTCTATTCTTCGTAAGGAGTACCAACTGATAAATGCTTTATCATTATAGAGAATATCCTTGCATGGCCATCACTCTAAATGCACCAATTCAAATCGAGAATTTGTTACCTTACGATATCGTATTTAGAATTAATGACAATGATATCAAGCAGGATTTGGCAGGAAATAGATTGGAAAAGGGACAAGTGACATCACTTCATCTTATTAATTCAGAACACGTATTAGCGCTTAATATAGAAGAAATAACAGATACAGGTTTGAAAAGTGTTTATGCTAAAATTGCGTAACGAATAACGAATTGTTTCATTATTTGACGTTTTTTATTAATGAAAGCTTTCAAGAAATCCGAATGGGCTATCATTAATTCACCAGACAAGTCTGAGTATCAAATCGACAAGACATTGACTGTAACAGATGATAAAAATTTGGAATTAAAACTCCGTATACATTACTAGTTAGCAATTTTACAAATTTTTGTCTCTAAATTTATATAATATTTTAAAATTATAGTTCGATATACAATCTTTATTTTATAGTGAAATCCCTGATTCTGGAGGCGCATTTAAGATCAGTATTTATAGTCCTTACGTAATGGTAAATAAAACTGGCCTGGATATGTCCTTTAGATCAAAATCCCTTTTTTCATCTGCCAAGGATACAGCTGGTCAAGGTTAGTAACCATTATATTTTATTGATTTTGTCGATGAATCGAATTCACGTCCATGAACAAACTCTTCAAATACTAGGATTTGTATCAAGAAAAGAGAAAAACCAACAAGTTAGTGCATCTGATTTAATTAGAATCCTTTACGTTCTGCTATATCTCTTATCAATTTGAATAAAAAAACCGAGCTTATATGATGTTGCATTTAAATTGTAGGTAGCGCCATATATGTTTTCTTATGCCGATGATAATAATCAAAATCGTGCCCTTTTGAAAGTGGGAGATTCAGAATGGAGCAAGGTATTTTATAGTTGAAATATTCTTAATTCTTTCAGTATTTATACTTATCTGCATATTGCTTTTAGCCTTTGAGTTTTGAGGCAGTTGGAACATTCTTAGAAGTTGTGATTTCATCAAATTCAAGCGCGGAAGAAATTCACTTGGGTGTGAGCATCCAAGAGGGTCATCAAAAAGTAAGGACGTGAATAAGCTCAACAATTACTGACACTTTGCAATTTCCGATCTAAAATTTTCATATATTTATTTACAGTATAAATTGACTAAAATTGTTACATTCACGCCGCGATTTATTATAAAAAATAATCTAAGTAATGACCTTATTTTCCGTGAGCCAGAAGCAACAAATGAAACTTGTGTTAAGGCCAAAAATCGAGAGCCACTTCATTTCTTGAAGCAAAAACAATTGGTTCTACGTTACCACGATTCAAATTCATGGTATATCTTTTTTGCAACAACGATGTTTTGCAACAATGCTTTCAGAATTAACCACCGATTTTAATTAGGTCTGCTCCTATAAATATCGATGAACTTGGAAGAGTTCACCTCAAGTTAGAAAAATCTGACAGTGAACTTGATTTAATTCGGACGGAAGTCTTACTCGAAGACGCTACTGTATTTGTCATATTCAATAAAGAAAATGGGAAATGGCCTTTTAATGTCGAAAATTATTCTGATGTTGATGTAGTTTTCTACCAGCAGGTATATAGTTGAAAGTCGAAGTTATTTGAAATTCATGAATTGTCTTGATGCACATAATCCAATAAACCACTGAATTACTATAAATGATATATTATCTATCTTATAGGAGCCGAGTCGTCGTGAATTGTTCGGCGGATCAAGTTCTCAGCCATCTCCATCCAAAAAATATACTCTTAAACCTAGAAATACTTCTCCATATTCATGGGATTACCCAGCTCATAAAGAAAAGAGATTAGTGTTAAAAGTTAATGGTCATGAACGAGTTGTTAACATTCAAGAAATCGGGTCACTTTTACCATTTAAATGCTCTGTAATTATTTTAAATTAATTGATTTTCTGTACCCGTTTTATATATCATTTAACATTCTTCATATCGCCTAGGCTAATGGGGTACCCCACATCTTAGCAATTGAGGTTGTTGCGGATGGTCCCACACAAGTTTTATTACTATCAAATTACAATCCATCCGAAAGCTTGTATAGACCGAAGGCTCCATCGGTTACATCATCATCAAATACCGATAGTTCGGCATTCGAAGTGGTTCGTAAAATTTATTTCATCTTTATAGTTGAAATCGATAATTTAATTAATACTGAAAGTTTTAAAAATTAGATTGATGTTGATTTAGTGATTACTCTAACATTCCAAATAAGGCTTGAGGGCATTGGAATTTCTGTGATAAACAAGCGCATGCAGGTATGTTTATTTCTGCTAAATACTTGATAAGTTTTTATTGCATTGTTAATTTTTGCTCATTTATTTTTTAGGAATTAGCTTATGCGTCTGTTCGTGGACTAGAATTTACTTATAATGATTCCACATTGTATCAATCAATTAATTTCTTTGTCAAATGGTTACAGGTATATCTGCATTTAATATATAGTATTCAAATTTAAAATTTAATTCCTAGTTTTAAACGGTTTATTCGTATTGTTTTTATAAAAGATTGACAATCAGCTATACGGGGGGATTTATCCCATTATTTTGTACCCAACAGTTATTCCTAAAGAAACCAATGATTCCGAGCTTGTTCATCGGGCATTCCACGCATCTCTTACTAAAGCGAAGGATGATTGTATGTACTAATATCGCTTTAAAGGCTCTACCTATAATTATTGTACTTTTTTATTTACATGTAACAATACATTTTGTCATTTAGCCCACGGTGTTACCTACTTTAAATACTTTTCTATGCTCCTGCAAGAGATGACGTTTGAAATAGACGAAGACTTTCTCTTTGCACTACTTGATTTTACAAAAATTCAAGGCTTCACCACGCAAGAACCTGATGCGTAAGAAAAATTAAATATACTATATTCTAAATATTTTATATTCGCTAATTGATATATCAACAACCTATAGGCCACTCATCGATGGTACTCTAGATATTCCTGAACCAAAAACTGCAGAGGGCGATAACCAACTGTATTTCGAAGTTTTACATATTAATCCGATGAAAATAAATATATCATTTGTTAGAACTGAGCGTATCAATGTTGAAAACAAGTAATATTTTAACATAATTATGTTTCATGAGCTTTATTTATTAACGTCTAACTTTATAGCTAATACCTATTATCACATCTAAGACCTGCACCTCGAAATCCGGTTATGTTTTTCTTCAATGTTTTAACGATGGCAATAGGGAATATTAATGTAAGTCTCTTTTAGACCAATTTTTATAAATCATCTTTTGTACTCTTTATATTGTTTGTTTACATGTATTTCATCCAGGATGCCCCAATTAAGCTTAATGCTCTTGTTATGGAGAATATGCGCGTTAGCTTTCCCGTTCTAATAGATCGTATACGGCAGCATTATGGAGAAGCCTTCATTTATCAGGTATGAACCTGTTGTTATGTTCAATTCATTAACTTAGGTTACTAACAATCTATATAAATATAGGTCCACAAAATTGTTGGATCCGCAGACTTTTTGGGCAACCCTGTGGGTTTATTTAACAACCTTAGCTCTGGTGTCGTTGATATTTTCTATGAACCTTATCAAGGCATTGTCATGAGCGACAGACCACATGACCTGGGAATTGGGATTGCTAGAGTATATTGAGCATATATTTTTTGTTTGTTTGTTTGTTAGATAAAGTAGATAATATTTAATATTTATTCTGTAATTAAAGGGCGCAACGAGCTTTGTTAAAAAAACGGTGTATGGATTCAGTGATAGTGTTTCAAAGTTCACTGGAAGTATTGGAAAGGGTGTGTACGCGTATATATTTTTTATGATTTGATGTTATTAAATCTGATTATATTATGAGTGCATATAATTTATATTGTTGCATTGTATTAGGTCTTGCGGCTGCTACATTGGATAAAACTTTTCAAGATCGGAGGCGTATGTCACAATACAAAAATAGGCCAAAACATGCATTTTACGGCGTGGCTCAAGGGGCGAATTCTTTGGTTACAAGTATCGGTAGTGGCTTCGAAGGGCTGGTTGTAAGCATTACGAATATTTTTGAATCTCTTATTGGGCCTAACTTACTAGTATTAATTTATCGTAGCGCAAACCTATTGAAGGAGTCGAAAAAGAGGGTGCTACTGGCTTAATCAAAGGAGTCGGCAAAGGCATTGTTGGGTAATTACTATTATTAGCTTTTATTTGATTTTGTGAATAGAATCTGTCACACTTACTACCGAATGATATTGAACTTATGTATTAGATTTGTGACAAAACCTGTCGTCGGTATACTTGATTTAACTAGTAATATAACAGCAGGTGAGAATTATCATAAATATTTTAAAACTGTTTGATAGGCATTTATCATTATTTACTGTCTAAGGTATTCGTAACACAACAACCGTATTTGATGAGAACGAAATTGTACCTACACGTTTGCCTCGATATGTTGGTCGTGACGGAATTTTAAGAGTATGCATTTTTATAATCTCTCATCTAAAATGACTTTATAATCGTATATATCTCATTATTTTTATTTTTAAAATAGCCCTATCAACAAAGAGAAGCTTTAGGACAATCATGGCTGAAACAGTTGGAAGATGGAAAATATTTTAACGATGAATATGTGGCACATCTTAGTAAATATCAGTCGATGCTTAAATTTCATTGAAGTTGTTACATTAGCTAATAACTTTTCATATTTTGTTATAACGGAATAGATCTTATAGGAAATGACCAAATCATAATGCTCACTAGAACTCGTATGATGTTGGTAAAAATCAAGAAAAGAGGGTTGAAAGTTGATTGGGAAGTTCCGTTTTCAGGTATGTTCTCCGGCCATGCATTAATCTTTCTGATTTCTACTATTAATTGTTTTTATTAATCTTTTTTCAGATCTTCAAGCCATTAACTTGCAAAGCACCGGAATCTTGCTTACACTTAGAGGAAATAACACTGGTCCATTTATTCCCATTTCGGATCAATCAGACAAAGAATGGTTTGAGAGACAAGTGGAACAAGTTATAAATGAGCTTAATGCTGAGAAAAAGGCTAACGTGACTGTATAATTTATAATAAATGAACTTTTTCAAATTTCTATATACCGATACTTTTTATTCTAAGTCTGTACGACAAATTGTAAGGTGGGGTTTGTAATCTATTAAATGAACCTGCATTTATATTTGATAGCAAGGTTAAATCAATATATAAATTATCTTCTTTTTTTAAATTTGCTTATTAAAATATTTATTTATGTATATATTGTATTAAATTAGTAGGTTAAATTGCAGATATTATATTTGTAGTTTGAATATTATGATTTAAATAATTATATAGTGCTAGAAGCCTATATCAACATGTTTCAATTTTTTAAATCACTTACTTTTTATACAAGAGGTTTTTAAAAAACTAACCGGTAACTTTGTAAGGCAATTTTGGTTTTATAAATTTGCTAAATATTGTTGAAAAACTATTGTTTTATATATAATTATATATAGTACGTGTTATATTATATTTCAATTTTAAATAAACTTTAAAGTGCTATAAGTAACTTCTAATAAAAGCAATATTTAATATTAACTATATATGGTGATGGGTTAAAAAAATTTTGGATTTTTTTTTTAAATTTCATAAAAAAAAATATATTTTCCACCTAATTGGGTTATATTCACCAAGAATTTCACTACAAGGGTGATCAATAATGGATATAAACAATGGATTTCTGTAGTTTTTTTAAGTGTTCCAAATGATCTAAGTTTTGCAAAAATAAAGGACCCCCCATATACAGTTACCCTAATATATTTATATATATGTAAATTATTAATCAAATATATAAAAATCATAAATAGGTTAATATATTAAAGAAATTTATGTATTTAACTGTTTAGATAATGTATAGAAAAAGTAATTTCTTTAATTTCTTTACAAAATCTTTTCAGCACTTAAGCTTCTCTGTATCGCTTTTTTAGTGACATCACATCCCCACTCAACTATTTCTTTCTCTTCTTCTTCTAAAATATCTCCTGTTTTAACAAAATGGTGTAAAAAGAACATTATTCCTTGCGCCAATGTTGGATTATGCACCACATTTATGAAAATTTTGACGAGTAATTGTGGATTACGTTTGCTCGCATTTTGAGTTAAAATAATGTGTGAAAAAAGGAGTTGGAAAAATAACCGACTTTGAGATTGCAATTTAGTAAAAGTGACAGTCTATACAAACAGATAATAATTAGATTAATTTATTATTAAATTTACTTAATTTAAAGTTTTACCTTTAAAATTATAACAGACAATCCTCCATTCACAATTAACCATGCAAAAAGCTTTGCCAAATTAACAATCCTCCTTAGTGAAATTTT